ACTTCTGCCTCATTCAAATACATTACTTAGATCATAGATGTTTATTGCGAGATCTCTAAAATTTATCATCTCTGGCTATGTATATTTCGAACAGGACCTTTTCAAAAATTGACCCAATTTCTATCTTTCTCCCACAAATCGAGATTATTGTGCTGTTCTAAGGAAGAATGTCGTATAAGCCTTCAGACGCTGCCATATTTCCTTCGATAGAAAAAAATCTACCAGGAAAATCGTTAATGTTTTTCTTCAAAATTTTCAGACAACTTTATACGCGATTCAATCTACAAAACCTGAAAATTCCAAGGAAAAACATGCATAACTTTCCTGCAAAATGCATGTTTTATCCGGGGAAATTTGGCAATTCTCAAATGTTTATACGGAGCTCTTCCTTGGCACGGCAGTATTTGTATCGTAAATCCTTACAAAATGATCAAACCACAAACTTTCTCAATTTGAGAATTTCAGAAACGTCAAATACATGACAACTAAAACCGAAAATGGACGCATTCGAATCAAAAGGAACATCGCCATTTTGACATGAACCCTATCTTGCGCATGCTCCTATGGATCCCACGGCTCATGTTAGAATGGATGAAGTTCCTTTTGATTTAAATGCATCCATATTTATAATTTAGAGGTCGCCCCAAATTTAACGTCTCGGCTACATTTCAGCTCGTCGATAAAAACGGAAGCGCATCCATCTCTCCTATTAGTCATCGTTTCCCGCCTGAAATCGTTCGCCGCGCACCGTTGCCGAGCGGTGCAAAATATTCATCGATTTCACTTGACCTTAAAAAAAATTCGTGGGTTTTTTTGCTCGAAAGGGCACCGTGGCACTCACCGAGGTGTCGCGCGAGTCCGACATCGATCGTCGTTCATCGGTCATGATTCATTTTCGGTTTAGCGCATCGACAGTGCTAACGGCTTCCGCGGATTTATTCTGCCGTGCTAAGGAAGAACGCCGTATGAACATTCGAATGTTGCCGAACTTCCTCTCAAAAAAGATTTAATTTTGGAGAAAATGGAGATGTTGCATGTGTGAGGAATTTGCGATTTGACTGTTGATTCTCANTGGAAAAAAACTCGCTGAAAGCGAATTTTAGCAATCAACACAACTTGACGTAGAGACATGATTGGCTAAAAAATACAACGGTTTTTGATACATCGGAAAATCAACCAAAAATCGGAGACTGGGCGAAACGCTCAAGGTCGCAGAGGTATAGGGAATCCCATAGCAAAAGCAACGGAACGATTGTAATATCATGGGGAACTCCGTTCCCATGACAAAATGGCTTCACACCGATTATTTCGGAATTTCAGTTTCATTAAAACATTATTGATTTTTAAGGTTTTTGTCCCCGATTGGATGAGCAATATCAACTGAGAAACACACGCTGAGAGCTGCTTAATTCATTTTTGTGTCAAGAAAAGGCGTAGAAATGCGTTACACTCAAAATGGTTGAACAATCAGTTAAGCAGCCCACACTTGCCTAATTCATAAAAACTCGCATAGCAAAGTGTTCACCTTGACATTCACCAGTCAACATCCGGCAAATTTTACTTGATTTTTCGCTCAACACGTTGTCCATCAAATATCATTAGGCAAAAACATCGTTGACCTCCGAATTCAACTTCTGCCTAACTCAAATACATTACTTAGATTTTGAGTGCAAGATCTCTAAAATTTATCATCTCTGGCTATGTATATTTCGAACAGGACCTTTTCAAAAATTGACCCAATTTCTATCTTTCTCCCACAAATCGAGATTATTGTGCTGTGCTAAGGAAGAATGTCGTATAAGCCTTCAGACGCTGCCATATTTCCTTCGATAGAAAAAAATCTACCAGGAAAATCGTTAATGTTTTTCTTCAAAATTTTCAGACAACTTTATACGCGATTCAATCTACAAAACCTGAAAATTCCAAGGAAAAACATGCATAACTTTCCTGCAAAATGCATGTTTTATCCGGGGAAATTTGGCAATTCTCAAATGTTTATACGGAGCTCTTCCTTGGCACGGCAGTATTTGTATCGTAAATCCTTACAAAATGATCAAACCACAAACTTTCTCAATTTGAGAATTTCAGAAACGTCAAATACATGACAACTAAAACCGAAAATGGACGCATTCGAATCAAAAGGAACATCGCCATTTTGACATGAACCCTATCTTGCGCATGCTCCTATGGATCCCACGGCTCATGTTAGAATGGATGAAGTTCCTTTTGATTTAAATGCATCCATATTTATAATTTAGAGGCCGCCCCAAATTTAACGTCTCGGCTACATTTCAGCTCGTCGATAAAAACGGAAGCGCATCCATCTCTCCTATTAGTCATCGTTTCCCGCCTGAAATCGTTCGCCGCGCACCGTTGCCGAGCGGTGCAAAATATTCATCGATTTCACTTGACCTTAAAAAAAATTCGTGGGTTTTTTTGCTCGAAAGGGCACCGTGGCACTCACCGAGGTGTCGCGCGAGTCCGACATCGATCGTCGTTCATCGGTCATGATTCATTTTCGGTTTAGCGCATCGACAGTGCTAACGGCTTCCGCGGATTTATTCTGCCGTGCTAAGGAAGAACGCCGTATGAACATTCGAATGTTGCCGAACTTCCTCTCAAAAAAGATTTAATTTTGGAGAAAATGGAGATGTTGCATGTGTGAGGAATTTGCGATTTGACTGTTGATTCTCATGTAAAAGTTCACGAGAAACACGATGGTGCCACTGGTTTTCTCTGATATCAACTCCCAAGCTCAAAAAAAGCTCTCAAGTTGAGGCCAAAATGGAGGGGATATCCCACCCTACCCTGAGAGTCCACCTCTACATCAAAACAAACTCTCCATGCAAAGATAGGGAGCGAATACATCAGCAGTGATACCGTGTTTTCAGTTTTGGAGTCCCCAAATAAAAAGTGGCAGCCCTGTCAATGTATATGCTCCCTATCTTTGCATGGAGAGTTTGTCTCGATTTAGAGGTGGACTCTCAGGATAGCGCGGGATATCCCCTCCATTTTGGCCTCAACTTGAGAACTTTTTTTGAGCTTGGGAGTTAATCTCAGAGAAAGCCAAAGGCACCGTCGTGTTTCTCGCAAACTTTTAGTTATGAATCAACAGTCAAATCGCAAATTCCTCATACATGCAACATCTCCATTATGAATATTTGTCCTTGCAATTTTTCGATTTTTTAGATCAAATTACGAACAAAATCCTCGAGTTAGTCCTCGAGTCCAAACGAACAAAAGTTGGAAGAGAAATATTTACAAATTTTCCCGAAAAGTATCGTGCCCTATGGTAGTTAAGTGTGGCCTTTGACGAAAAAACGCAAGAAATATTGAAAGCAACTGAAATGGATTTTTGGCGGCGATCGGTTATAGGACATTTCGTCAACGATTTTTTGTCCGCGCACCTGTTTTTTCCAGTAATTCACGTCCTCGTGTTTTTTCGGCACAGGAGTTTTGGTCCATACGTGCCAGTTGAGACCCAAAGTTAATTGGCCCACATGTAAATACAAACGACAATCGCTCACGACGTTTTTGGATGAAAATATATAATGTCTTGGAAGAATGAGGGTTTGCTTGTTTTTTTGTTTTGTCTGTTTGGTCTGACGGAGAATAATATACAATAGTTGAGAGTTTTGGTAAAAATGGGGGAGCGTCAATTCCATGAGACAAATTTCACTAAAACTCTCTAAACCTCTTTGGTGTAACAGGACTTAATTATCTTTCAAGAAATTCCCACCTTGTTATACCTGAACCGGATAAACCTCTATATTTGCCTCAGTTAAAGGCTCTTAGATTTTTCCCGTGCACGATAAGTATCTTGATTTATTTTGCGAGGAAAGATCTGTACTTTTAAAGGATGCCTGTCATTCTTAATACGTTCAATTTCGTATAATACTGTGCAACAAATCTGTTGTGAAATAGTTGCTTCAAACGCCGCCGCACGGCGGGCAGGCGGCCATCGCGAGAGGCGCATTGGCGCCTACAAACCTAAGTGGATACTTCAAGCATTGTGCAATGCGTGACGTATCCACTTAGGTTTGTAGGCGCCAGTGAGCCTCTCGCGCTGGCAGCACGCCGCTCCGCTCTGTTAGGCTTTAATATTCCTACTCGCATAGTCAGCGTTTTTTAACTCATGATGAGATTGAAATGTTTCCACACTCTGCATTAATTATTCTCATTTTAATTGATACTCCCCTCTATAACATCGTTCAAACTTGATTTTTTAATTTCACTTAAAAGGAAGATATTTTTCTGTTTTTTGACACCGTGGTCGTTGACACCCTGCTCAGGGCCCGCTTTTTTTGCGTTTCAGTGCCTGAGCATGACGTTAAAAATCGTTTTGACTCATGATCAGATTTTGGGTTTGTTGACACTACGATCGCCGAAACCATGCAACGTTACCCTTGTCTAGTCTGCCGTGCTAAGAAAGATCGCCGTATGAGCCTTAAGAAATTGCCAAATTTCCTTCGACAAAATCCAATTGTACTGGGAAAATTGTGAATATTTTCCCCCAAAATTTAAAGACGATTTTGTACGAACTTTAATCAAAAATATCTGAAAATTTCGAAGAAAAATATGCAAAAATTTCGGAAAAAATACATGTTTGGTCCATGGACATTTGGCAACTCTTGAATGTTCATACGGCGTTCTTCCTTAGCACGGCAGTAATGGTCCGTTGTCTGCGACATGGATATCCTGACTGCACTCAAAAAAAAGTATGGGAAGAATGACTTACCGGCCGAGTTATGGATCATGGAGCCATAAAATATAGTTCGTGGAGCCATGCGTATAGGTTCACGACCAATAAAGTATGGCTCAGAAAGCCATACTGCAAACGGTAAGTCACTTTGGTTAGAAATTATGGATCTCCGAGCCATTCTTTATGGGTCTCAGAGTCATACCTTTTTTTGAGTGTGAATTTCGAACTTTGAAAATGTTGAAGTTTTCTTTGAAAGAAAGATTGTAACCAGTGTGTGTTTTTCTTTGTTTTTTCTTAGACGGCGGACGAGTACAAGGTGGAGTACGACTCGCGGCGGGGGACGGAGTACTCGCGGTTCCACGGGTACACGTACGACGGGATGTGGGCGGCGGCGCTGGCCATCCAGCACGCGGCCCACCGCATCCGCCACTTCCGCAAGAACCAGACGCTCGTCGACTTCCGCTACCGGGACCCCCTCTGGGAGCGCCTCTTCCTCGACGCCCTCCGGAACACCAGCTTCGAAGGCGTCACCGTAAGTCCTAAGATAAAATGACAGCTTATTTCGTCGTTTTCCTCACGAAAGAACGTAACTACATTTCAATGTTGCCAAATTTTCCTTCATAAATTGCATTTTAAACAGAAAAATCTTGGGCATTTCTAACTGAAAATTTCACTGATTTTTCTTCCTTTTTCATGGAAAAATCAGACAGATTTGGATACAAATTGCACACTTACATTTTTGTAAAATAAATTAATTATTAGAGTCAATTTGGCAACCTTGGATTGGAGTTACGTTCCTTCGTGCGGGAGACGACGAATTAGGCGAAAGGCTGCAAGAGGGGGACAAATTAAAAGAAAAAAACCCGAACGCTAACGAAACCCGGGACGACATCTCGGTCTGGTAATAACAGCAAACCGACGACTAATTTTTGTTTCCGGTAATAATGGAATTGTAACTATTTCCAAACGTTCCGGGCTTTTTATTTGATTTTTCCCCCTTTTTCAGCCTTCCTCCAAAATAAGTTGTTATTTTATTATGTGTTTTTGGCTGATTAAGTTGTTCTTCATTCTCTAGGTCTTAAGTTTCAGCCTGAATTCCTGAGCCCAGGTTTCTCCGTCAACACCCTCCACATCCTCTACATCCACACCCACACACACACCCTCACCCCACACACCACACCCACACCCCACATCCTCCACATCCTAATTGGACCGCGCAAAGCACACAACGCCGCGCCACTGCTGTCTGCCTTTCAAGAACGTAATTTGGAAGCTGAGATAATACTATATAATCGAAAATTCTTCATCTCAAGGAGCATTTTTTTCGGTGAATGTATTGCTTTCAGCGTGAATTGGACCGCGTTGAGCAGAAAGGAACCAAACCACATCATCTATCGCCAAATTTAAACGAGCAATTAAATTCTTTACCAGAGGACGTTTATGCGCATTCCTTTGAAAATTTTAAGGAATTTCATTCAGTCTCTGTAAAAAATGGGCCTGTTGCAAACTTATGTCAGAGCAAAGATAGGAATTGCTTCTATCAGTAAATGTCTCAAAAATTACGATGAGCGCATCGGGGAAGTCTGAAATGCACTCCTAACTTCACAATCTGAGAAAAAAACGCGTTTTTTTTAGCTCACTGCTTCAAAAACGATCATCGTGATTTTTGAGTCATTTACTGATAGAATTAACTCTTATATTTGCTCTAGCAAAAGTTTTCAGCAGTTGCATGTACTGAAATTAGCACATAAATCCGCAGAACCGTGTCCATTGCTTCAGTCTTTCTTTTTGGAATCTTTCAAGATCCCCTCGTGTAAGTGCACAAATAAGAAGGGACTTTTTTCTCACATACGTATTGGAATAAACCCCTACCAATCGGCAACTCCAAAATGATGTCGTGAAAATCTGCAACAAACAGCTCGTCATCGCTTCATTAAGAAGAGTGTCAAGTCTGAACGAGTGCGCGCTAAAGTCGCGAGTGCACGGCAAAAACCACTTACCGCCACGCGGCCTGTCTTTTATTGCCCATTGTTTTCTCTGATGAGAAATTGCGCAACGTTGCCGAGTAGGCGGGAAACCCCTCGTTTTATTCGCGTGTGTGCTCGAAACCAGCAAATTTATTTCGGAGTTTGGCGTCATTGCAGTAACGCCAACCTCACATTTGCAGCTGAAAGCGATGCAGTTACGACGTGAGATGGCTGTCAGTGTTGTCGATGAACTACTTACGTCACGAGATTGCCATGTCTGTCTTTCCCACAAAACAATGGTCAGTCAATCCATATAGGGTCCACTTTTATTTTCCCCTAAATTTCCTCATTTTTGGAGATTTGTGGCATTTGTCATGAAGGATAAAAATAATTGCCTGGTTACACGCTCAACTTTCCGTCAAATTCCGATCAAAATGATGACCAAGATGGCGGTCAAGAGTTATCTAGATTGATGAGTGAAATTGATTAAAATAGCGTGTTGATTGAAATAAGCATGAAAGAAGCACGGTTGTGTGGAAATCAGATGAAGGATGAGCCTCACAGCTCCATCATCTACCATCAAATTTTTGCAGGTCGCAGAAATTTGATGTTAGATGGTGCGCACCAGTCACCATTTGATCGGAAATTGATGGAAATTTGAGCGTGTAACCAGCACATATGAGTATGCGAAGCCACATCGTCTGTGCTTCAGCACATTTGTCAGGTTGGCCACACCATTCTAATCCAAAGAAAACGGTATTTCGGTCAAATTGAGGTCGGAGGATATTTAATTTTTTTTTATAAATAGTCAATGTTTTATATGTATTATTATTTATCAGATATTTGAAATGTTCCCTTTAAAAAATAGGTTGTATTATTTTCCTTCTGAAACTAATTTGTCTGAGGACTGAAACTACCAGCAATTCCTAAGGTAAATCATATTCAATCGCTAAAAATTGCTCATTTGCACGTTATAGCACAGGAATTTTTTTTTTTTTCTGAAAAAGAGATACACCCGCAATACGTAATACGTATACTATGATTGTGATGGCTTGATCGGTCCACTGTATACCCTTAGTTTTTTATAATGAACAGGGCCGGATCTAGGGGGGGGCAAGTGGGTGCACGTGCCCCGGGCGCCACTTCAGGGGGGGCGCCAAAATGGCAATGACTTTTTTTAGAAAGGAGGTGAGAGGGAGGGAGGGTGAGAAGGGGGGAAGAGGAGAGGGAGGTTACGAACATCGAAACAGGAATACATACATATGAGTCGCTTTTATAGCGATCTTTGGCGCTTTACCACGCCTAATCGCCACAAAGCTCGAAACAGGAATAACATTAGAAAAAAGGGACGAAATTTGTCAGTTTTCATATCTTCTGAAGAGCACCTGAAAGCTGAAGTCAAAGTCAGCACTGAGCATAAGGCGTCAAGATTAAAGGTATGGATTGAAAATTCCAATATTTTTAATGCACACGGAATCGTTAAATGAATTCCGATGGGTTAACGAGGCTAACTCGGGGGTGAAAAAGGCGCTAGATTTAAGGAAAGAACGAAATTAAAATAACAATGAGTGATGACTGTAAACTTAAACTATGAAAGAAGACGAGGCGCTACTTTAGGGGGGGGGGCGCCAAAATGGCAATGACTTTTTTTGGAGAGAGTGAGAGAGGGAGGGGAGGGAGGGAGAGGAAGAAAAGATGTAGGTTCCGAAACAGGAATAACATTATAGAAAAAAGGGGCGAAATTTGTCAGTTTTCATATCTTCTAAGGAGCATGATTCTGTGACCAGCAGAACTAACCTATTGCAAGATTCCAGCGTTTAAAATTTTAGAATTTCTTTCGTGTAAGATTGACGGGAAAATTGAATCTATTTTTGGGAAAAGGGCTTTTTAAACGGCGAAGAGATGAATAAGTTGAATGATGACGATTTAAAAAGCATGCGAAAGATTTCGCCATGAAGTACGCGATGGACGTAGATCCCTATGAATTTGTCGAGGAAACAGAAGTCTTTCGGGTACAAGCCAGAGAGCTCTCTGGCAATCTTCAAAAATTAAGCCCTCTTAACCTTCTGAATTTAATTGCGAAAAATGACCAGAAAGATACGTTCCCAAATGTCGCGATCGCTTTGCGTATGTATTGCACTTTGCCGACAACCTCCGCTAGCTGTGAACGCAGTTTTAGTAAGTTAAAGCTCATCAAAAATTATTTGCGGTCGACCATGTCGCGGGAAAGATTGACAAATCTGGCCATTTTGTCAATCGAAAGTGTGGTTGCCTACACGGTTAATTTTGATTCCTTAATTGACATTTTTTCAGAAAAAAACCCTGGTAAAAATTGGCGATAGGAGCTGCGTTTCAAAATACCATAGGAGTTCTTATAGCCGACTAGAGAAGGCTATTGAAAATTATATAGCTGGCTGTAGAAAGCGGAGCAAATCATATAGCCGGGCAATACGAAGCTATAAAAAAGTATACAGTTGGGCTATAGTTCCTATCACCGGGCTTTACACTTTATCGCCTGGCTGTTGCTTCTTCGCCATCGATTATAAAAGGCTATAAGAAATTGTGTAGAAATTCGTGTGCTTTGGAAATCATTAAGTTTGATACGGAAGTACCTTTATATTTACGAAACACATACATATTATATTTTCCAGTGGCGTGGCGTGAAGGATCGATTATCGATATATCGCCATTTGAGGCTATGGTAAAGAATCGATTACTAAGGTGTTCGCTGCGAACGCCCTGATAATCGATCTTTTTTCATAGGTTTGGATGGCGAATCAATCGATATATCGCAAAGCACGCCACGCCTCTAATATTTTCCTTTAAAACATATTTTTTTTTCATCAATTAAAATGAGAATAGTCCATACAGAGTGTGCAAACATTTCAAAATCATGAGTTGAAAAACGCTGACTCCGCCAGATTAAATATTAGAGCCTAACACAAAGCGGAGCGGCGGCGACGCACTGGCGCCTACAAACCTAATAGGGATATTTCACGCATTGCGCAATGCGTGAGGTATCCCTGTTAGGTTTGTAGGCGCCAATGCGCGTTTTGCGCTCTCTGCCCGCCCGCCGCGCCGCAGCGTGCCACGGCGTCTGAAGCAACTATTTCACACCAGAGGTATTGCCCAGTATCACAGGAAATTGAAGGTTCTCCAACATATTAAGAATGACGGGCATCCTTCAAAAGTACGAAGCTTTCCTCGCAAAATAAATCAAGATACTACGGCACAAAAAGAGAGCGGTAGTCCAAAAACTAACTAAGTCCTATAGTATCCGTATTTAGTAACGTTTAGCATAAACTTTATCGTCTGGCTGTTGCTTAATCGCCATCGGCTATAAAAGGCTATAAGAAATTGTACAGCCGGCTACAGAAGCTATTGGAAATCTTACAGCCGGCTTTAGGTCTATAGTATTTTGGAACACACATTCTACTGCCAATTTTTACCAGGGAAGGCACGAAAAGTACAATTTTAAAACATGTTATTGGCACGTTCCACTAATGGGATTGATTAAAACCTACTTATCCTTTTCTTTCTCTTGTTTTTGTTGTACTCTGTTTAACAACTAACCCTCAAAAAAGCCTTTCCCTACGATACAATTTCACAGTTGAAAAAGCTTCCAGTGAATGAAGGGAGTAAGTGAGATTACTGAAAAATCAAAATACCTGTAGCGGTGATTTTGAACAAATCTCATCTCAAAATACCATTTTAAATAATTTTTTTTTGCTGCAAGACCCCACGTAACTTTTCAACATTAAAATCGTCTTTCTAAAAATCACAAAAATGTTACTTATACTTACCTCCTTCATTCGCTGGAGCTTCAACCTACCCTTTGGTACACCCAATATTCATTCATAAAATGTGAAGTGTAAGTACGTATCTGTCAGTGCTTTATAGAAAGCACACATAAAGAATGTATTGAGGAATGCGACTTCAAGTATTTTTACATGCGCGTATACCGCTCTTTGAGACCTCAAAAATCAAACTTAAAAAAATAAATTTTTCGCTAAAAACTACGGAAAACGGCCTTCTGGTACGCTGTAATTTTCAAAAATTTTCCGGGGGGGGACCCCCGAACCCCCCGCCTTCCTGGGGGGTATTCCATACCCCCCAGACCCCCCGGCGTGGGGGGCGCCAAAATCTGGGTTTGCACCCCCCTACGTGAAACGTAGATCCGGCCCTGATAATGAAATCCATTCCCATCAGACTCCCTCCCTGTGAAAGGTGGCAGGGATTAACGGATTCTCATCTTATTCTCTAGAGTATTGTGCGGGATTATGAAGGGTATCGGCATTCATCTCTCCGTTTCTAGACCCTTTACCGCCCCCTCCCTTTCCCCTCTCATCATTCTTTCACACATACGTGTTGCATTGTTTCATTCTTCACGGAAAATGATGAGGGAATTCATACTCTGGAAAAAAAGTCTTACTTTACTTTTCTTTACTTTACTTTACCCTTTTGAGGTTACCTACTGTAAAAATCTAATGAGTTCAAAATTAAATGTTCTCATAAACTCAATGCAAATCAAGCAGCACTGTCAAAATCTGTCGTAACGCTCTATACATATTCCCAGAAACATAAAAGTCTTCTTAGCGCCGTTCAATTTTTCCAAGTCGTGGATCAATAATTTTATTTTCTCCGGTAACATTTAACCCTTTTGTATGTTAGGTTTCAACTTTGGCACAATCAATTGTTTTGAAATACCAAATGGCACTGCGGCAATGAAAATAATCCTTGAATGTCACCTGCAAACGTTCAGCTTTGATAGGACAGATCCCGCAAATCCGTCGAGTAAACATGGAGCCGTGACTGGCGTGACTTGCGACGCTCTCGAAAACGCCTTCAATTGAGAGTGATACGCCGCAACACACCGGTGCTCGATAAGTCGCATCACACGAAATGACCGCCGCGCCGCGTTACGTTGGCGATCGCATCGCGTCGCACGGCACTTTACTTGAAAGCACTGTTTTCATTGGCTCTCTCGAGGAATATTGTCAAATGCTGCTGGCTTCCCTGAAACTACGTCATTTTTTGCGCACTGACGGCTTTCTGACATGTTTCGTTTTTGGATACAAATAAGATGGATTTTGCCGTTTAGCTATTTCAGTGATTTCATCTAAAAGGGATCAAACGAATTTTGAAAGAAACTCGATGTCCAAAATTTGACACTTACTGCTCCTCGCTATCACGGCACACAGCGGATCTAGTCAATTAGAGAGGTCGGACATGAAATTATCGACTAAAACTGAGAAGTTTGGTGTTTATTTCGTCACATTTTAAATTTCCCGGGATGCTCATAGTATAAAATTTCACAAGGAAACCAATAAAACTACTTTTAGAACCTCAAAGTTTTGTATAAAAGGAGTCATAAGCGTTTGAAGTCGCCAAATTGTGTCCGACCACTCATTTTGACTCGATCCACTGTGCGTCGTGGAACAGTTTGTTTATCATCCGGCTCGGTTGGGAAATGACTACACGCCAAGACCCAAGACCAGTGAATCCTAGGTGCTGAGAGTGCTTTTCTAAAGGTCACTCAACAAAACTAAAGCAACTGAAAGTTAATTCAAGACAATCAGGACTTAATGTGTGATTTTATAAGTGTACAAAAAGCGTTGTCAAATGTATCAAGATGATTTATTGCCAATTAAGCGGGCTTTAATTATATATGAACATATTTATGCCAAAAAGAACTATGTGAATAGGGATTGCGTGTGACGTAGTTCCTTTTAGCATAAATACGTTAATATGTTGTACATATGGAGAGTATCTTTTCATTTTCTCTGTTCCAGGGTCCGGTCCGGTTTTACGACAACGAAAGAAAAGCTAGTATTTTGCTCAAACAATTTCAAAGTAAGTCAATTATTCAGTCAGCCGCATTTATCGTAAATCGTAAGATTATGCTAGAGTGTATTCTTCACTTTGTTCCATTCTCTGACCTTCACTGTGAAACAAATTAATTTATTCGATAAGAATAAATAATACAAATAAAAATGACTGAAACTGTCATACACTATTTTTCGTGCTCAATCAAGGAAATTAATTTTGCGCATATAGTTCAATACTTCGAATAATCGACTGATCAGCATACTGCAACGCTGAAAAAAATTGATGAAAAAATCGTCTTTATCGTATCAGCAGCCTGATCATTGAACTTGATAGACTAACGGTTCGACAAAGATGACGAAGAGAGAACGATCCTATTGGTTGCATGGAAAAAGATGAATTTGTTGATTTAACATTTTTGTACTTAAAAAAGTGTCCAACATGTTTTAATGTAGATATTATAATAAAAAAATGCTAATTCAACCATCCCCGTGATTAAATTAGTTTTTACCACTATAAAATGTACATTTAAAACACGTCGGGCATGATTTCAAAAATTTAATTGTTAATCAGCAATCCATTTTTTCCGTGTGAAAGAGGTGAGTGTTATAGATTAAGGGGAAAAATGATGGACTAACCCTTGGTATCCCTTGGGTTGCCGTTAGTATGTCTGTTAGTTATTCCTTTGTTACTTGCAACTACTCGCTTCCACCAATAGAATCGCTCCATTTTCTGTGTGTTTCATTCGTCTATCGCTTTGTCTATCAATTTCAATGATCAGCCTGCGATTCATTAAATCTTAAAATAAATTTAAATCTCATCAATCATAGCCAAAACAGATTAAAAATAAAAAAGTCAGCCTTCAAATTCAGAAAGGGAAAGATAGCAATAAAGGCCTGCCTTCCCTAAATAACGCTATTGTGTCATTTCCATAACAGAATCTTTGAATGGGCCACTAGACAAGGTCAGGACTGAAGAGAACACCGCATGTTTTCTCCTCAAAATTGTATGCAGAAGGTTATTCTCCCAACGGAAAGTTTGGATATCAGGTCCTCAACGAGATATTAACAAGTATCTCTAACAGACACAGATCTAACACAGATCAAATGGAAGTTAGATTATACCAATGACGTCATTTGTATTTTTGCCATTGAACCAATGTTAATTGTAAACACTTATACTTTCTTTAGGAGTTGATTTCCGGGATTACCGTTTTGTGGTTCGTTTTCCGCGTAAAATTTTGAAGAGAAAACACGTTACACAGTGGTTTCATTCGTACCTTGGCTAGAGGCTCATTTGCATGATATGTCCCGGAAGTCATGCATGTTATTGCTATTGCAACTGAATACCAATTTGTGAATTTTTTTTTCAGATGGCGAGGAGGTGAAGGTGGGGGAATACAATGGTGTGACGGAGCACCTGGACCTAACGCAAGGGCGGCCCATACATTGGGGCCACGGAAAGGGTCCCCCCAAGGACCGCACCCTCACGATGGTCGAGCGCTCTCGCGTCAATTTAGCAATTTTTTTCTCTTTAGCAATTGCAGCCGCGTGCGGAATTTGTATGGCTGTGGTTTTCCTTGTTATCAATATTAGATTTCGTAATCAAAAGTGAGTACCCATTTTCTTCTTTTGAGCTATTTAATTCCTCCAGTTATTCGTAAGTGTTTTTAATTTATATCGAGGGTGAAACTCCCTCCTACAGCAAAAACGTCGTAACTCCATTCCAAATTTTGTATTTTTCTTCCGCACGCGCTGCTCTATGACAAAAAAACCCCAAATTGCACGACGTTCTTTTTCTTCATTTCTTTCAAAAAAAAACGTCGAGGTTCGAAAAGTGTTTCCATTAATTTTTCCCTGAAATTTCTTTAAGAAACACCCCTTAAAATTTAAAATATGACGAATTAAATATGAAAATTTGCAATTTCAGTCAAAAATTCCATGTTCGACCCATCTGATCGACCTGATCCACAGTGTGACGTAAGGGCGTATCTCGGTTTCCACGTGAGCCCTGATCTCCGTATAACTCTATGCTTTTCGGGGCTTATGTTGAAATAGAGATACGCGCTTACGTCAGAGGGGCAACGCATCGTTCCCGCGAAAATATGACACGCGACTCCAATAATTCCTTCGTCGGGGGCGAAAGTTCCTGCCGCGAATAACGCTCGCCCGGCCGTCCCGCCCTCGCGGAGCCCCGCGGCCTCGCTTCACGAACAAAGTCAATTTCCGCGGGAACAAGAATAAAACAAGGCCCCCGGCGGCCGCGGGCCTTAATTCCGAGTCACGCGCCCCGTGCGTAGCGCCTAATGACGTCACGGCCAACTTCGTCCCGTAATGACGAGCTTAACCCCGATTCCAATCTTGAACTTCGCTAAGCCGCGGTTCGGATCCCGCGGCGCCGCCGACCCGGCCTCGTGAGCCCCAGATCGCATGGAGTTATATGGGCGAGAGGGCTCATCTCGCGGTGGAGTTGCGGATTCCGGCGCCCGCCGCGCGCTCTGACGGAATGAGAAATGGAATTACGGCCAACTCCTCTCCCTCCGCGACGGGGCGGGTTTCTTGGCGGGAGATTACGTCGTGTGGAGACGGCGAGAAACGGCCGGATTATCTTGAGTTAGATGCGGTTCGGGCGTCTCGTCTCGTCGCTCTTTGGATATAACGGCGTGTGGAGGGTACGGATTCGATCGACATGATTCGATCGAAAAACCAAAGCGTGAACCGATCGACAGTGACTCGATCTACAACCGTGCATTAATCGACAAATCCGTGAATCGATCGATAAACCCGTGAGTCTGTCGATAAATCCGTGAGTCGATCGACAAACCCCTAAGTCAATTGAAAATCCGCAACTCTATCGACAAACCCGTGAGTAGATTGATTAATCCGTTTGTCGATCGACGACCCCGTGAGTCGATCGACAAACCCGTGAGTTGATCGACTAACTCCTAAATCGATCGAAAAACCCGTGAGTCTATCGACAAATCGGTGAGTCGATCGACTAACCCCTAAATCGATCGACAAACCCGTGAGTCGATCGACAAACCCATGAGCTGATCGACTAGCCCCTGAATCGATTGACTAATCCGCGAGTCGACCGACTAACCCCTAAATCGATCGACAAACCCGCGAGTCGATCGAACCACCTAGAACGGTTCACGTTTTGGTTTTTCCATGCTCATGAGTCCCGCATTCAGTTGGCACATAGGTCTGTTTGATAGAATGTAATATCCCGCTTTTCCAATTCTTCAAAAGGAATCACGCCCACTTCTACATGTTTCTTATGTAGATTTCTAGAGCACACCCCACATAGTTCTGTTTGATAGAAATACGTCCATTTGAGGCTACGGCAAAGAATCGATTTGATGCGCGCAACCTCATAATCTATATTTTCCCATCAGTTGAAACGGCGGATGGATCGATGAATCGAAAAGTTCGATACTCCACTGCAGAGGACTCAAAAATCCATCGCTGACTCGGAAACGACGATGATAGCGCCTATTTCCAGCGCGCCGCCGAGTCGTGTGTCAAAGGGGAAAACTGAAAAGTGAAAAAGTGATCCGTGATTATTATCGCCGGCTTTTCCCAAGGGGCGCCGCGTCGGGGGGGGGCGGGGGCGTCTGACCGGGCTCGCTGCTCCTACTGTTCGCGCGTGAGGAGATTAACCCCTCCCCCCTCCAACCACCCCCTCCTTCACCCCCGCCTCCTCCG